TACTTATTGCTTGTTTTCCAAACTTAGTCTAGTTTTGTGGTGGCATTACAACTCTCTTCCTTAGTACCTATATTGTAGAGTCAGACTTCTCTATCTTAAGGTAGGAGAAAGATGATTATTGTAAGAGTCTATTAGACTTGGGACTTGAATGCATGCTACAAGTGAAGTAGTATATCTAAATCGAGGCACTTGTTGATTTTGAATGATCATATAGAGTGATCATTTAGAATGATCTGAATGGCCTTCAATAAACCTTGTCAATATTGCTTGTTCATTTGCATTAGATCTTGTATAAATTTGCCTACCACCTATATTAACTTTTTAGAGGTACCTAAATTAAGCTAGTTTAGGAAATTTAGTTGGGTGCCTATTGTAATCAGGCCTGATTATACTTGAAAAAATAATTAAACCATATGTATTCTTTTTACTTCTCTTCTTATAACCACAACAACAATACTTAAATTGTTGGTTTTTTTAGAATTTTTATACAAGGAAATTGGATCAATTTTCATAATTTTTTTATGATATTGATGGGTACAATCTTTTGTTATATATACAATCATCCAATCAATTTGCATACATGCAATAGTTTTTGTGGTGCAAAATAGATTTTATGTTTTTATATTTCAGTAATTTACTTAATTTTTTTTTTATTGTTATTGTTAAGTTCATGATTCTTTTAGAAATTTCATTGTAAACAAATAAATAAAGAGTTTTCTAAAAATTATTTCAATGATACAACATTCTTTTATGTAGGGATCTTAAAATGAGCATATTAACATCTATTCTATATTTATAACTTATGCATAAAGAATTCATATCTTCACAAGTTTTGTTAATATTTTCCATATCTTTTTAAAATTACAAATATCAAATTACCTTTAAAAATTCAAATTTGTAGCTTGTGGTTGTTTTGGTTTAAGCCATGTGTTTGTTATTTGTATTTCAAGTTTGAATTCTTCTTCAATTCCTCTTTTTCTTTTTCCAAGTTATTTTATTATTATCAACATTACTACTTGATGTACAAATGTATAAAAATAATAAATTGATTTTTACTTATAATTTAAATGCCTAATTTTGGATGCAATGAACTTTGTCAAAAAGGGACCTTTTGCAGCTGAAATGTAGCATTCCTCTGTTTTAATTTCTATGATTAGACTCCTGCAGACACTATCATATAAATTCAATTACCTATCATCAAAATTATTATTACTATTATTAAAAACATGGCTTGATGCAATGGATTCAAACAGAAGAAAGAAAAAAAAGAGAAATCTTAAATATAAATTTAAGTATCTCATATGTTGAATAGTAATGCAGTAATGCATTCAAAGCAGGTTGTTCAAATGTAAATGGGAGGTTGACTCTTATTGCCATAAAAGACTGAAAAATAGTCTTTTATGGCAATATGAAAAAAAATACACACAAAAAAAAGATATAAAATTATTGATTTATTAATTAATATCAAGGGAAAAGAAATGAAAAATACAAAAAGAAACAACAACAATGAATAAAGTATTGATTGAGGTTTCATTCTGTAACTTTATTCAAAAAAGGAAAAAGGAAAGTAAAAGGAGAAAAGAGAAAGTAAAAGGAAACAAAGAGATTTATTGGGATAGAGTCAATCCAAGCTGACTTGGCCGGCCGGTGAACAGTCAGCCAAGTTCCAAATGCCACGTGGAAATCAAGAATATTTATTTAGTGTGAACACACAAATAATAATCAACAATAATTCTCTTTTGTTGGTGAAATACAAGAGCATTTGTTCAAAACATACCAACTCCTCTCACAACTAAGGAGATGGATGGATGGATTACTTCATTAGTTAGAATGAATGGATGAATGGATGAATGCATGAATTGGATGGATGTATGGAGAGGTGTTTTCATGAAGAAGCTTTTCCTTGTTTGGAATGAAAATTTTGTAAGTGGATAAATGGAGATGCTGGTATTCAAGCATAAAAATAAACAGGTTAAGAAACAAATACAATAAAATTTAAGCATATAATTTGAAACTTTTAATTGCAATACATTACTATTTAGCATTATCGATGTTAAAACAGCATGTTTCTATACAAAAATATTAGCTTTTATTTAATAAAATATCTCAAATCTAAACTATTTGGATATTATTAACTGTGGATTTTGAACATAAGAACATATATTAAATCACTATGTAAGAACATGTTATATGCATACAGTCATGTTTCTCTTTTGAAAATGATAGAACTAAATGAACACTTGCATGATGATGTTAGAATATTTTTCATATTATCAATTATTTTTAAAAATATGAAACATTTTTAATATTGAAGTACTAAATTCAAAAAATATAATAAAATGAAAACGAAATATAACATCAAAAAAATATACTTTCATAAAAAAGTTCTTCTCATATTATGGATTCATTGCATGATGAATTGTAATAAAAACCAAGTAAAAGTGGTGTATCTTTTTAAGTATTACTTGCACTTTTTTTGAAATTATATTTTTATATATTATTATATATATACGCACTGTTGTTTCATAAAAATGCAAACACAATTGCAAGATTTATAAATGGATGTCTAAGAGATTTGAAAGTTTTTCTTTCTTTCTAAATTGAAAAATATTATTTAAAATATAAATTATTATGAGAATTTTAAATCTAAGTGTGGTTGTGGAAAGAAAAAAAAATCATGATTGACGTGTCACACACCATGACCTCATATGCATTTTATTTCCTTAGAATAAGAAAATCAATAAATTGATATTAAGGTTAACACGAATTATATCAACATTCAATTAAAACCCCATTCTTATGTTGAGTAATGAATTAAGAGAGGTTATAACTATCAAAAGAAGTGTTTAGACCTTGCATGAGAAATCAACTTTTCACCAATACATTTTCTATGTATATTGCTATCATTATTTGTTTTGCTTTCTGCTGCAACATCATGATTTTCCAAAAATCATACTGTGGCTTTTGTTTTACATAAAATTAACAACGGAAACAACAATAACAACAAATAATAATAATAATAATAATATATTTTAAAAAATCAAATAGAAAATAAGTACAACACATTGAAGTACGTTCGTACACTGACAGCTAAAAGGAGAACAAGCTTTCAAAGACTTAATGTATACCAGAGTAATAACAAAAATAATAAAAAATCTAAATAAGAGACTACTGACCATATCTGTACATCTCTCAGTACAATACGGTCTCCCAGAATACAAACAGCCTTTAGCGGTCATAATCAAAAATAAAAGACAGACGTTCATATATAGCATATACGATATACGAAGCATATCGTATCTTGCATGAGATCCAAGTTAAAAAGTGAGCATAGAATTCCTTCCAGTGCTGAGAATGAAGTGGGCAATATGGGCCATCACGATGGGATCCCAAACCAGGGATATTAAATTCCTTTGCAAAAGTAATAAAGCGGAGAGGAGAGGGTCAATATATACTTTACTATACGGAACCGTATTGAATGCATGGCAATCGTATTATTTCCACAGCGATAGAATCATTTGTCTTCATCTTCATTTTAGTGTATGAGCTGTGTACTGTCAGTACATATAAAATGGTATTTGTACATCATTATTTATTTCCCTCATATGTTAATGATACGATCTTACAAGTACGAGTGGGTTGGATTCAAAGAGGAATGCTGTCATGTACTATTCGGATTTTATCTTGTGGTTTATTTTTAAACATGAAGGATGAATGAAGGACGACGTTGAGGTCTGTATCTGAATTATTATGCCCTTTTTTGTCCCCCGCATGGGTGTTTTGCAGCTGGTGGGTATTCACAACTGAGGAGAAAAATTGCAACTATAGGGTTTCACGATTGGAACATTCTGCGTTGAATGAATAAGTACAGCTTCATTCCAGGTTTTTGACGCAGGTTGTTGTAATTCACCACTCACAGCACTGGGTAGTAGCTGATTAAACCCACGATTCAGCGTAGAGATGGCCCCAGCTTGAATGATGGCAAAAAGCACTGAGCCAAATGGTTGATACGTCAACGGAAGTGTTGATCTTGTTCTGCACAAACGTCAATAAGTGTTGCAGCATCCAAGTTTCACGAAGAGGTGGATGTTTTGTTGTATGATTAAGAGACCGTAAGTCTTAAGTCCAATCGACGACAGTGTATGTGTGATTTTGAGTGTGGGGGTGTGTGTGTGTGTCAGACTGACACAAGCGCATTTTCAGTACATGTCTGCATGATCCCAGTTGCAGGGTTTGTACTCCCGCCGAGTCTCTGCCACCTTCATGTCCAGAATCTCGCTGAAGATCTTTCATTGGTTCGTCGTGCTTCGATCGATGCTGCCAATCCTCCAGTGCAGCAGTTGCAGCACCAGGGTGTGCCCAGGGGTTGCGTCAGTATAAAAAGCAGTCTGACTCAACTCACAGTCAGTCGGAGTGAGAGGAGACGAGAGAGAGAGTCCTGGGTGAGAGGATCTGATTTGCAAGGCGCTGCAACACCACCTGGTCCCCACTATCTAATACTTCGGAATTGCCCGACCTTTCTGCTACAGCACCAGTGTGTGCCGCACAATGCCATGCCCTGGATTTAATTCTACTGCATTAACAGTTGGTTTCGATGCAGCTTCGGCACTTTAAATAAATCCGTTATCATTATGAAGTCACCTGATTTTGTCACCGGCAGCGGAATCTCAGCTGCCAATGGGGATTTCCAGCCCAGCTGCTCATTTTTCACAAGGTTTGAGGCTTTCACGGTAAAGGAAAGGATGCTGTTTTCTTTCCAACAATAGACCAGCTCCATCCTCAAATCATGAGGGAGCCTTTCTGGGAAGCCCGCAGGACTGAGGTCGACAGATGGTTGGGAGCTCACACCAACTCCATCGTTATTCATACTCCATCGAAGCACGACCTCGAAAAGATCTGTTGATTGCAGCAATGTTTTCCAGAGTTAGGGCGACAAAAGCATCGGTTTAACTTGTGGTGAGTTAATGAACAGCTTCAGGCACTCATGATGTAGCCAAAGATGAAAGGAGCCGGGTTGTACAGAATTGCATATCAATTCCACTTCACAGATCACTGGTGATGTCATGCACATCACCGCTAATAAAATACATTTTTTTCAAAGCCTGCCTGGATGATCTACCACAGATTCTTATGCTACATGAACATCAACTGATGAGGTTGTGTTGATCTCAATTGCAACCTCACGTAACATTTGAGTTCTTTCTCAAGTACGTGATAGAATTGATTCATTTATAGGGCGGAACAATGAAACTATGTACTGACCACGAACACTAGCCGGACTTACTTGGTCCAGTAACTGCAGTGTGGGCCTTATGAAGGAGCTGCACAAGAGAACTTTGAGTGTTGTATGCTCGTTCAATCATGGGACCGCATAGAAAGCAGGGATGAATACATGTTTGTTACTGAGAATGGAGATCAATTCGCTGTGTCGATCAAATCTTGGTTTGGTCATGCACATTGCCATGCAGAGGCAGAGATCAGAGGCCGCGTGTGCCAACCAAGAGTCAAGCAGCCCAGTTTTTCTTCAACCCGATAACCATCGCCAGAGAACATAGTGAGCAACATGCTCGCCTGTTTGAACGCGTTCAAGCCTAGTTGGATCGGCCGGTACCCTGCCTTCAACATACGCATCTGCCATTGAACTAGGTTCTCATGCCGCTCAACACGTGCTGCATCTTCACAAGCCACAATGTTGTTAATTTCCCGGCCGAGGTACATCTCGGCAAGAACTTGTTCGCTGCTGTCGGAAGGCAAGCTGCATGCTTCCAGTGAGTCGAACATGGTTGAATAATAATGCAAGGCCTCCGTGAACCTGCCCAGAAAGGAAGGTTGATTGTGGTTAGCCTCGTGTTCAACAATGGTGAAAATTTTAGGCTTCAATGCCCGGGCCGAACGAAGAACCTCGTCGATGGGGATTACTGATCCAGCGGAGTACAGAAGCTTGTGCAGTTGAAATACGGAATTCACTGCAACTGCTTCGCCATGACATATCTGAAGCATCCACGGCTTGATATCATCAAGCTTCACAGCAACTACACCCCGAAATTCGAATTCTACCTTGACGGTTTCTGCTAATTGAGCCAACTTCATGCCAATCTCCTGCAACACATCGCTTCCTCCCGATTGTGGCGGCCCAATGCCAGTTAGGCGCAGACGAGGAGGACCACCCGGCCGAAGGGCAAGGGCCTGGATCAAAGCCGGCCACTGTAATCCATGCATAAGATTGAAATCTATCACGTGAACCTGCTTCTGCCCTGCGAAAGCTTCGAGGATGGCTTGGTTGGCCGTAAAGTGTGCGAATTTAAGATACGGGCATGTTTCATAGAAGTGAAAGTGCAACAACTCAGAGAGAGAATCTGACTGATTAGAACCGACATTGTTGCCGCTTGAGAAGGCGACTCCATAAATTCTACAGGTCAAAGCATCGATGAAGTGGGTGGCTACTTTGCCCATTGGACCCGGTGGCAAGCTAAGCAGCTGGATCCGACGGAGAGTCTGTTCCGCTAGGTTGAGGTTCCCTCGCTGGATAGATTCCGCACATGCCAATAAAGAATGTACCAGCCGAACGCCGTTGTCCTCATCCTCTCCCATCGGGCTTGGTTGTTGTTCTAACACTGCTCCGGTGGCACGATTTGCATTTAATTGTGATGCATCATTTTGAGGAGTTGCTAAAAAATTGTTCCCAACAGCGGGTGTATTCTGGTAGTGCAGAGTTGGAAGCCGGGAGGAGCCAGTATCCAGTGATGAATCATGGCTAGAGCTGGCCTCAAGTTCATTTTGGTGGAGAGAATCTTCTGTAAGGCTTCGCTGTTGCGGCGCAGCCATGGTACCGGCGTTGTTGAAAGAAAGCTCATCAATCATGCCGTCAATCCACCCGGCCAGATCACTAGTGCGATTGTTACTTGTTTGTGCCCCAGCGTCCAACGTGTGATGAGCAGGAATATTCGGTGAATCTTGAGATACTGTTCCTAGAACGCTGTGGAGCTGCTCTAAATGCTGCACTAGGTCCGACGGTTGCATGAAATTCGCATGCCTGAATTGCCCATCAACAAGAGCTCCGCCCGTAGCCTCATAGCGAGTGCTACCTGGATAGTACTGATATGCCATCTACAATTCTTTGTCAGTGCACTCTCAGGTTGCAATTCCACTGCTCTAATTCAGCAAGATCATCGATGGAAAATCCTGCAAGCCCCGAAGGTGAAAAAAATTAAGCACATCCTCATCCATTTGCATCATAACCGTGCTTGATGCATTTCTTTCAACCGGTGAATGAACCGCGGACTGTCATAATTTGTCAATATCTCCATCAGGAATACACTACATGCTGGTATTCTACTACAAAGGCTGTTATTCTCACCATTACAACAAGAAGCTACATTCTGACATGGAGCAGCAAGCTAAGTACCAAACATACTAAAATGTAGAAATCTATCGAAACATCAACTACGAAGGTCCGGATACATCCTATCGTAACTAGGCTGCCTGATTTCGAGAAAGAAATGAGTACTGATCCAAATGAAATTGACAAGTTGACAAAGCTAACGTCAAGTCTTATCAGAACTGCGTTAGAAGCACGAACTATTGAGAGGAAGATACTTCCAAATACTATTTGTTGAAAATCTGTCTGAGAGTAAGCTTAAATTATGAACCAAACCAGAGTATTTGGAGAGTACTAAAAAACAACAGTATTACTAGGATTACGACCTACATTCCACAGGAGCCTCAGGAACTGAGTTCACGCAGCATAGCGTGTATCATAGAATGCTATGGAATGAATGTCCAAAAATACAAGCTGAAACCAGCTGATCATACGTGTGAGCTCAAGGTTTTAGAAAAAAATCTGATTTGAGTTGCAATCCACTAATAACCATCTGCGTGCACTGATCTAGCTTCAGCATACCATGTGATTCAAGTTCGTTCATCGTTAGCTTATGGTAAACATATAAAATAGTCACATGATAGAAAATTCTGAAAGCATCCTTGAAGATGAGGAAATGAGAAGGACCGCGTTGTTCTCCAGGAGAAGCGGACAGACTGCCAGGCGCTTTTCCGGCTGCATGCTGTCATCGTTCAGATGATTTGCGTCCTGTGCCAAAGAACACGATTTCACGTCAGCAAACCAACTGGATTATTCCGTCTCGAATCTAAACCTTGTTAACGAACCACATCGTTAATGAATTGATTATAAACCCATTTTTTGAACTATGTCTTAAACTGCTAGAAGTGACCAGCTATAACAATTTGACCCAGTCTTCCTCAGACGAAGTCGGTAAGGGCCTCGGATTAACAAGGGTAGCACCGGTTCGACATATACGTCAGCTAGCAACAACCAAATTGTCTGAACAAAGCGTTTCCCAGCTCGGGTTGAAACAAGTAAATGGTATCGTATGCTAAAGAAACTTGGGACAAAGTGACCTTCTAAACGAAAAATTACGGAATGGGAGTGAAACACGGAAATTCTGAAGTCCCTTAATTATCACTGAATTACTGGCCTGTCGAGAATGAGATTTCTACAGAGAGACCAAAACTGACAGAATGATTGTCCTCTTGTTCCTCGACATCCAATCCTCTCTAGAGACACATATTGCTTTCTCCTGAAGAAAAACAAGGTACTTCGTAGTTGTAAGGGGTTGTCCATGGCTGCTGCCTCGTTTCCAAGTACGCAGGATGACGAGGTTATCTAAAGTCCTGTTAATACAGTAAACAACACTAGACAACGTATTTCTGAATAAACTGAATGTACCAAATAATCAAAGACGCCTTCGTTGTGCTCGTGCCTCGTGCCACTTCATTAATACAGGCGATTGTCTATTAATCTGAAAGAAGGGATCGATTGCCCATCTACAAACCAAGAGAAGCGAGAAACCTCTTCGTACCTACCGCAGTAATCGATGGAGCTAAACTTTACTCTAGTAATGATCAGTGCTGCCAACAGCATATCCCACGGCTTAGTATATTAAACACAGAAAGCTTCCCGTGCCTCATGCATAGATATGACGTTCCGTAAGCGTAACTAGCTTACAAGATTTAAATGACACAACAGGGAAGAAAAGCCAACGTGTGCCAAGTCTCTGAACACAACCTTGTTAAGAATCCGACTGCAGTGGTTTAGTCTAGAGAAGGTGATAACGACATGAGTGGTCGGCCACCTACCGTGAAAGCCAGGCGCGAGTCAGTGTGGACTCACTGCAGAGCCGCATGAGCCAAGACCTGTGCCTCCCTCACGAATTCACACCACCGCCCCCCAAGACCTCCGAAATTCCACCCGCGCGACAAGTCAACCGCAACACCGTACCAACACCCCGAAATTCAAAAATTCTCTCCGACCCGATCACTCCGGCAGCTATCTAACGACCTCTTCTACAGCAACGGCAAACGAAAATGATAAAATTAAACCGGTGAATTCAACTACCACTACTGAAATCTACACCAGGGCTACATTTCACACAAAGTTAGTTAAAAAGAGGCCAGTCTGCACCCCGCCTAGCAAAGTGGCAACCAATTCGCGAAATCACATCCGACACTTTACACTCTACCATTCACACAACTCGCATAAATATATATATATATATATATATATATATATCACTGCCCTCAATTACAAAGTAAGAGATTCTCTCCTCAAGCCCGAATGAACCCGTGGATCTAAAGCACAGGAAAACGATGCTCAACCGTTTCGAATACACAAGCCTCTCTCGAGCTCGGTAACCTACGAACAGAGCACTTCCTCTCTCTCTCTCTCTCTCTCTCTCTCTCTCGCTACCTCTTTTCCTCGCTCTCTCTGTCTCCCTCCCTCTCCCTCCCTCTCTCCTGGTCACGCATCCAAAAGATTCATAGGACGCTATGGAACTAATAATCAACCTGGGCGCCGTCAGCGATGGAATGCAGTGAAGGTGCGCGGAGGAGGAGGAGGAGGAGGAGGGAAGGAAGGAAGGAAGGAAGTAAGTCGGAAGAGGCGGAATTACACCCAGAGACACAAAAGGGGGTGAAGGAATTTCTTCTAGTGTGTGTGTGTGTGTTGGGGACGAGGAAGTGATCTTCCAGCATCGCCTCTCCAAAACCCACTCTCACTCACTCACTCTCTCTCTCTTTCTCTCTCTCGTGACTACTCCCCTTTGTCAAGGCAAGCAAGC